CCCCCGGGCTTTTGCCAGGCGCCACCAGCAACAGTCAGCAGTCCGAGCCACAAATTCCCAGCAACTCCGTTTCCTTTTTCCCCCCACTCCGAGCCACGGGGCCTAGGTTGCCAGTCGTCTTACTATTAAGCACCCGTGAGATTTAAAAAAAAAAAAAAGAGGGGAACCATAGGATAACAGGCGGATTGTTCCAATTTATATATTGTATTAAATTGAGTTCTTCATCACATTTCCCGTGGAATTTCGAATTCTGCATATGTAGTGTCCTGTACATTATTGAAAATTTTCGCAAGCTCCTTGATATGCATTTACAGTACAGTACTGTACTCGATTAACACGCGTCATGGAATCAGGAGTTTTTCAGTTCGGCATTTTTACATCCTCTTATCACCAAGTTAGGCTCGCATCTCCTTTTATTGTGACACTCTAATCTGCAATATTTGAAATATGAAACCATCCAAATTTGAATTTAGACATAAATTGAGCATGAATTTGGCTATTTTTGTGTTGTTTTCATTAAAATAAGTTTTTCTGTTGAAGTTTGTCCAAAATTGTCCATCAGAATCACACCTAAATAATAAAAACTTTGTGACCAAGTTATCCCACATATAATGTACACTCCAACCCCCCACTAAAATTTGAGAAAACAAAATGTGCACATGGTACTTGAGTAAATATGGTATGTTCTGAGTACTGTGCAGTAAAATCTTGTTTCTACAAGTTACTTTTCATGATTGTTTCAGGGAGTTTTTAGTGGTGGTTAGGTGCTATTACAGGTGGACTCTCTTCAACAAAATTTGAGGGAACCAGAAGAATATGGGGGGAGATTATTGTATCAGAGAACTCTATACCTGTAACATCATGAGAGAACCCTATGGAAAGAAAACACATTTTTTACTGAGAAAATTGCTGTGGACAAGATCATTGCTGGGAGTGTCTACCTGATGTATAAATTTGCATTATGAAGATTCAACATATAATGTTGACCATGAAATTCTGTATCAATTTAAATACTGTGCACAACATTTTTTGTTTTACTTGATTCACAGGGAAGATCTTTTTTATGAAAAATAATTTTCAAGTTGAAATTCGAATAACAGAATGGCTATAATTCAAAGGACCATATGCACACATGTAATGTAATGTTGCAAGATTTGTTGCAAAAAAGTGATTCTATTTTCATTTAGTACCGCATATCATTGAAGCAATTACAGTACTTTTCAACAGATACCTTCAACATTAACTTTTTAGGTCCCAGCAGAAACATGAGTTTCTATACATCAAACAGGTACAAATTTGAAGAACACTGGACTCTTTTTGCAGAATCAAATTTCATGAAGAAAGTTTTTCAGAAGTGTATGTTCATCATGAATTAATTGCAGACTAAGTATTTTTCTGTTGGAGGTAGAGTACCACTGAAAAATTCTCATTTTTTAATAGCACAAAAAAATCAAGGATTTGTGTGTGTGCTAAGATCTATTGTAATTTGCTGCTTAATTAGACAGGAATGTATATTTCGAATGTACAGTAATAACATTTTGTGAGATACACATTTAACTTAGATCTGGAAATCTTGATTTCAAATCTCTTTATGCGTGTCACAAATTTAGCAAATTGCATGAGACTCATTTTTCTGATGATTACCATGTATGCATGAATTACTCTCTGATAAGGAATGAGCAAAGGGCATATCAATATGAGCTGCACATATACATAAGGACAGGCTGAGCATTTATTATCAATGTACTCTGATCAAATTACCATACTCATCCTGAAAGTACTCTTTTTAAGTGCTTGTCAGGATTCTATTTTTGAGCAATGCATTAAAACCTCCCTAACTCAAATGCTTTCCCTCTCAAACCTTCATAACTTGAATTTTTCTTAGGCCTTGCGGAATATTATTTTCTTAACACCAACAAGAAGAAGGCAATATTAAAAATAGAATTTGATTTATTATGAAAGGAAGTGACTGACTGTATTTGGGCAAATGAACCCTTGCCTCCAAGTTCAGCATCCTGTAAAATCATTCAAGATACCATTCAAGGCATAGAATACCACCAATTACCATTTTATGTGATTCTTCTATCTCTCCTCCAATAAAAAAGGCTAGTTTTCTAAAACAAAGCTACCCTAACTCAAAAGTTATTCCCTTTGAATTTCAAATTGAAGAGGTTTGGCAGATTCATCTAAAAAGTGAGAGGTACATGGAAATTGACTACCTTGAATAAATCTTAACGGTAACGGGAGTCAGATCTTGACCTTTTTGAAGTCAACGGTACTGTGTGTCCCTTTAAAGATTTATGTCTACCAGAGTGTTGTTTACATAGACATATTTATTTTAAATAGACAAGAGTATCCCGAGTCTCCTCATGTTTTACTGGTTCTCTCCTTTAAAATTCTCACTATAAAACATTTTTCCGAGTCTCTTCACTTTTGTAGTTGAGTGCCCGTCATCTGTGAATGCAGGGGGAAATGTCCCGCGAAACTTGGTTAGTGCGAGTGGCAACCTAGGCGGAACCGGAGTTGAACTTGGTCGCGGCGGCCTCGAGCAGCCGTTGAGAACCGCAGCGGCTAGTTATTACATCCGTCACTCAGGCGCAGAGAGGGAAAACTCTCGCACGGGGTCCAAGCGGAAATCCTCGCGTTTCTCTCACATCACTTCACTTCACTTCACTTCGCTCCACTATACTGTACAGACAGTACTTCTTATATCAGTGCACAGAGCAGACAGGATACTTCTACTGCACTGTACTCGATGTACATTACAGTATATACAGTCCAGTGAAGTTCTGCTCGCCTTCATCGCCGCGGATTATTTGTTTCCTATGTATCCGTAGAGCTCTCAATTATACAATATCTTCACGATTCAAGGTTTTCCTGTATTCTTTCATCTCCCATCATATCGAGTGTGTGCATGTACTGTACTGTACAGTAAAAAACCTGCATGATGTGTGCTGTGTGTGTGGATGGGTTATATAGTGAGTGAATGTGTTGCAATTTATGATCGTGATTCCGTGTTCATCCTCAGTCCTCCAGACGGGAGGAGAGCGAATATGTGAGACGATCGATGAGAACGATCTTCTTTGTGTGAGAGTGTCGAAGAAAGAGATGAGAAGAGGTTATTAAAAGCACAGATAAACTACACACACTTCATATCACACCTCTAGGCAAAAGGTGTACCATATATGTTATATCGAGGGCTTCTTCAAGTGGGCTTTTTCTATCAATCCCGTGTAAACTGATTTTTCGCCATATCTCCGGAAGAAGTTCACCCGAAAAAGATTGAATCCCGTGTAAACTGAGCTTTCGCCTGCGGTAAGTTTCCTGACGCGATGGAAACCGGGCTTTGAAGTTCACTGGAGCCAGTTTACTACTGTGTTTTTTTTTAATGGGTGCTGAGTGATTGTATTTGTGTTCATGATCGTACGAAGTGAAAGCACAGTCATTCCAGTGATTTAGAACCTGTAATAAACGTGGTGAAATTGTGTTCACCCGCGTGTTTTTGGAATGATCGACGGTTTCATGATTCAAACTTGGACTCGCGGATGCTGACCTTTTCTGAATCCATAGTTTTTGGGCAGAACCCGGCATTCGGTGAATTCTTTTTGGAGTCTTTCATTCTTGATAATAAGGTAAGTTACGTACGCAGGATTTTCGAATACAGGGCCAATATAAATTATATGATTATATCGTGAAATGTCTTTATTCAGCGAACACTCATGCAGGGACTTGAAAAAAATCGTTTCCACGAAAAATTTTCCATAATGAAATTCATGGTTCTTTGAGCAGGTAGGACTGACATTTTTGGGGAAAAAGAAATTCAGGTGATGGGCACTCAACGATAAAACGCAAGGGCTCAGAACAAAATTTGTTTTATAGTATTTTGTTGTAAGGAGATTCCTTATAACGTAGGAAGAGAACCCTTCAGGACAAAAATTTAATTATGCAGAGAAAGTTGTTGTAAGCAATACAATTGTCTCCAATGGTAATAAAGAAAGCCCACCTTTAGATGCTTTCAAGTACAGTACTGTAATTGAACAATAGATTTGTGAAGAATATCCCGCATTGTCAACTTCTTCACAAGAAATAGTAAAAAATTGAAAATGTCATAAATAAAGCTCTTATTTTAAACTTTATATTTCTTGAATTTTCTACCAGATCTTACGCAAGAATAACCTGGAAAAAACAAAAAATACATGCATGAGATGATCATTTATTCAACTATAACTGCTTGTTCCCTAAGATATAGCAATATGCTTCTAAAGATACCTTTCTTTCCAAAATTTGACTTATATAAATTCTAAAATAAAGCTAGAACAGTTTTGAGATGAGTTTCATACTTCCTTCAATACTTAATTCTATTTAAAAAAAAAGATTAACATGCGGTATACATTTTTAAAGGAATTTCAATTATGCACAAGTTGGATTTTCCCATATTGTGCCAATCATTAAAAATGTATATGGCCTATGTGCACATCATTGAAGCAAAAATTTGTTTTCTGTGATTATGGAGAACTATTAGAGTAAATAGTTTTATAATTTTTTTTGACATCGTCCCTATGGAGAAACTGTAAGAATACACTTTATTTGAACGAGATTTGTTGTAATGGAAATGTTACTGTCGTCTACTATCTTAGTTTTTATTTTAATGCACTATACTGTACTGCACTTGACGAAGGAACATGCATTGATTCTACCGCGCTTCTGCTTCGCATTCATGAGCATAGTTCTACTTGCTTGAAATACAGTATTAGAAAAATATATAAAATATAAGTCCTTTCGGTTCTCCTTGTGCTTAATTTAGGACCTATATTTGATAACATCGTATCTGGTTCCATTGATAGGCCGGTGGGTTATTATAGCCGTCTTTATGGTCCCAAGCCACATCAGATAATCTGTAACGGTGACAGGAATCGGCTGAAGTCCACAGTACTTATTTAATAGTGAGGTTGAATTTGGGTGTGTCTACAGCAGGAAGTGGACGCTTATGTACAATACTAACGAAATTCTATATAATATATTCTCTTACCCATTTGTAAGTGGGATAGAGTGCCTGTGCTATAAATGTTTCACGATGTCGTGAGACTCGTGATGCGAGACATGCTTGAAGTCAACAAGTATTCGAAAGTTCAACTCTGTGAATTTTTATGGCGTTACTTCGTTGAAAGGTATTTATTCAAAAATATTTTTTTCACGTCAATGTCGTGTTATTGGTGCACCTGGATGACTTCACAGCGTAAGTTTCAGCACGAAAGTTTATCTGTGTTTGTCAAATACGCAACTTACGGTTGAATCTCGATAACTCAATCAAATTTCCCGAAGTCGAATAAGTCCCCATGTCGAAATTTTTCGAAGGCCCTGTTTGAATTCTTTCAGGAACGATTAATTCTATAAACCTTCGTAACACGAAGACTTTCCATCTCAACTTCTCTATGATTTGAATTTTCTGAATACTTATTCAGGCTGTTATTTAATCAATAACAGTATTTCGACTTAATTTAATGTGATGTACGTTTGTTTGAAGGATTTTGAAAGCATTGGAGAAAATGTTTCGGGAAATGATNCTTCTTTCTCTACTCTTCTCCAATAATTTTCGTGTCTATTTGATGTGTGTGAAGTATAGTGTGGAGATCCGTTTTCCACATGGTATATACAATATAGCTCCCGAAGAAGTTCACCCGAAAAAGATAGGATCCCGTGTAAACTGATTTTTCGCCATATCTCCGGAAGAAGTTCACCCGAAAAAGATTGAATCCCGTGTAAACTGAGCTTTCGCCTTCGGTAAGTTTCCTGACGCGATGGAAACCGGGCTTTGAAGTTCACTGGAGCCAGTTTACTACTGTGTTTTTTTAATGGGTGCTGAGTGATCATGTTTGTGTTCATGATCGTACGAAGTGAAAGCACAGTCATTCCAGTGATTTAGAACCTGTAATAAACGTGGTTAAATTTTGTTCACCCGCGTGTTTTTGGAATGATCGACGGTTTCATGATTCAAACTTGGACTCGCGGATGCTGACCTTTTCTGAATCCATAGTTTTTGGGCAGAACCCGGCATTCGGTGAATTGTTTTTGGAGTCTTTCATTCTTGATAATAAGGTAAGTTACATACGAAGGATTTTCGAATACAGGGCCAATATAAATTATATAATTATATCGTAAAATGTCCTTATACAGCGAACACTCATGCAGGGACCTGAAAAAAATCGTTTCCACGAAAAATTTTCCATAATGAAATTCATGGTTCTTTGAGCAGGTAGGACTGACATTTTTTGGGGAAAAAGAAATGCAGGTGATGGGCACTCAACAATAAAACGCAAGGGCTCAGAACAACATTTGTTTTATAGTATTTTGTTGTAAGGAGATTCCTTATAACGTAGGAAGAGAACCCTTCAGGACAAAAATTTAATTATGCAGAGAAAGTTGTTGTAAGCAATACAATTGTCTCCAATGGTAATAAAGAAAGCCCACCTTTAGATGCTTCCAAGTACAGTACTGTAATTGAACAATAGATTTGTGAAGAATATCCCACGTACATTGTCAACTTCTTCACAAGAAATAGTAAAAAATTGAAAATGTCATAAATAAAGCTCTTATTTTAAACTTTATCTTTCTTGAATTTTCTACCAGATCTTACGCAAGAATAACCTGGAAAAAACAAAAAATACATGCATGAGATGATCATTTATTCAATTATAACTGCTTGTTCCCTAAGTCTGCCTAAGATATAGCAATATGCTTCTAAAGATACCTTTCTTTCAAAAATTTGACTTGTATAAATTCTAAAATAAAGCTAGAACAGTTTTGAGATGAGCTTCATACTTCCTTCAATACTTAATTCTATTTTTACAAAAAGATTAACATGCGGTATACATTTTTAAAGGAATTTCAATTATGCACAAGTTGGATTTTCCCATATTGTGCCAATTATTAAAAATGTATATGGCCTATGTGCACATCATTGAAGCAAAAATTTGTTTTCCTGTGATTATGGAGAACTATTAGAGTAGATAGTTTTATAATTTTTTTGACATCGTCCCTATGAAGAAACTGTAAGAATACACTTTATTTGAACGAGATTTGTTGTAATGGAAATGTTACTGTCGTCTATACTATCTTAGTTTTTATTTTAATGCACTACACTGCACTTATGCTTCCTTGTACGTAACTAAGATGGCGCGAAGACGAAGCGTAAGTACTCGTATCAAGATGAACGAACTTTATGTCATAATCTTTTTATATATTTTATATTCAGGAAAGCCAAGAGGAACACGAATTTTTAGGACCTATATTTGATAACATCGTATCTGGTTCCATTGATAGGCCGGTGGGTTATTATAGCCGTCTTTATGGTCCCAAGCCACATCAGATAATCTGTAACGGTGACAGGAATCGGCTGAAGTCCACAGTACTTATTTAATAGTGAGGTTGAATTTCGGTGTGTCTACAGCAGGAAGTGGACGCTTATGTACAATACTAACGAAATTCTATATAATATTAAGAGAATGGGTAAACATTCACCCTATCTCACGGACACGATATTTACAAAGTGCTACAGCACTCTGAGCACTACGCTCTGTACGAACTTCAGTTGTTCATAAGCTTTCAAGTTGAGACACTTAAAATATGGCGTTACTTCGTTGAAAGGTATTTATTCAAAAATATTTTTTTCACGTCAATGTCGTGTTATTGGTGCACCTGGATGACTTCACAGCGTAAGTTTCAGCACGAAAGTTTATCTGTGTTTGTCAAATACGCAACTTACGGTTGAATCTCGATAACTCAATCAAATTTCCCGAAGTCGAATAAGTCCCCATGTCGAAATTTTTCGAAGGCCCTGTTTGAATTCTTTCAGGAACGATTAATTCTATAAACCTTCGTAACACGAAGACTTTCCATCTCAACTTCTCTATGATTTGAATTTTCTGAATACTTATTCAGGCTGTTATTTAATCAATAACAGTATTTCGACTTAATTTAATGTGATGTACGTTTGTTTGAAGGATTTTGAAAGCATTGGAGAAAATGTTTCGGGAAATGATCGTAAGAAATTGTCTGAATTTCGTTGCGCCATTTTAAAAAGTGAACGTGAAAATCTTGTCTGGCAGAAACATCTTTTGTGCTTTTACATTTTTCAATTTAAATATGAATCAATGCAATTTCTTTTTATTCCGGACGGAATCTTTTCACAGGCGAACAGTTTCTGCAGGATTATGAGTTGCTTTTACCTTCGGAATACCCATTCTTTCCACGAAATTTGCTTTTGTGCAACGAAATCGAGAAAAGTCATAAATGAGAACTGCGAAGTGAAAGGAAAACCAATTCAACTTCTTTTCACTTGAAAAAAAAAGGTTGGCGGTTGATGAAATGTACCTGCATTTTGAGACGCAGCAACATGCATTTATTGTGATGAAATTTTGTTGCATTTCTCTCCTCCATAAAACTGCGAGTCGGAAAAGTGCAAAATATTGATGGAAATGCGTCGTGCCAGGTTTTTTTTTTTTTTTGATTTTATCAGCCAATTTCTATGAAGAACGAGAAATTTAAATTTTATATTGGTCCTTTTCCGCCACTTTCTTTCAATCGTGTCAATTCTGCGTCTGCCAAGATTGTACAGTGTTTTTTGATTTTTTATTTTCAGAAAATTGGATTAAATTGCCTCCTTGCTTAAGAATGTGATGGAAAAAATTTCCTCCTGATCCAGAAACATAAAAATTGCCTCCTCATCGGTCTTAATATCCGAATATGGTCATTTTGCGACATCTGTGTTGAGTGAAGTGAATTAATGTTAGGTTGAGGCGATTCTGGGGAGTCATGCCATTGCGGAACCTTTTATGGCTTTAGTGCTGGAAAAAAAAAAATTCGAAAAATGTTCTTTGTGATGAATCTCATTTTTTCGAAACATTGCGTGATTTTAATCCTATAGTCTTCATGAAACAATACGAAATAAAAACTAACGCATTGAAACACAAAATCTATTGCTACTTGTTGTAATAGTTTTTTCATTTTAATTTCTTTCAAATATCTTGGAAAGAAAAAAGCGTAAATTCCAGTAATCCTAAAAATGTTTCGTTTGCGATTTATTTCTTTAGAATTGCGGAGAAATGATGGCCATGTATTAATACTCCCGAATTAATACATTTTCAACTTGTTAAAATGACAAGCGATGGGAACTTTATGGTCGCCCCTTTGCCCCTATACACGACTAAGAATCAATGCCTCAATTTCCTACAATAAACCTTACAGTCTTATTATAATTTTTTTTAAAGTTAACCAAAATAATTGCAAATTTAGTGTACAGCCGATTCTACTACAACTTCTCACAATCTCACGTACCATTTTAATTAAAAGAAAAAAACCTTGACCTACCGTACGAGTCATCATGGGCTGTTAAACCGTGTTCAATCATCTGAAATGTCACACTGACATTTTAAAATGATGTACGCTGGCAATCTATTTTTGAAGGATCCGAAGATTACTTCTGTCAAGAACGCGATTCACGCACAGTTCAGCTTCAAAAAAATCGAAATTTAATAGGTGATACGCAATATACGACACTAACATATGTCAGACATTCTTATCCTTCAATTGATATTTGCATACTAAAACGTAACTGATGATTAGCATAATTACACTGAGTGAAATACAATATCGTACCAAGAACTTCGATAAAGTTGCGGATGCGTACGTTTTGTATAACGGAACAGAGGCTTGAATTGCTGGAAAGTGTCTCGAACAGTGTGAAATGGGAATTTATTTTTGGTTTCTGGGCTCAGGAAATGCATGTGCTTTTAGTGGTTTTCTTCACCGTTAAGTTGCCCTCTGGAACACCGAAAACCGCGGTTGTGTGGACGATTGGGAGATTATTATTCATATTTGTTTTTGCTGAGAAATACTGCGGTTACTTGAAAAAAATTGATGAGTTTTTTTTTATTTACCCTCAGAGGTGAGCTAGAACTTTGTGAATGCATCTAGAAAACCCCTCATGGGAAGCTCGTTCTCTCAAGCCAAATTTGAAAGGATTTAAAAAAGAATTATTTTGCATTAGCTTTCAAAAGATTTCTCTTCAGAGGTTCTTTCCAAATTGTTTATTCAGCTGAAACATATCTGGGAACAGGCTGATGAAAACCTTGTGTTTTAAATTTTATTCTGAAATTGTCATGTGTTGTGCTGTTGTTTATTCTCAAAAAAAATTTTGTCGACTGCTTGAATGCTGAAAAGTGGCATATAAAGCTTGTAACATATCTCATCATGCACTGACTTGTAAGCTGTACATGTGGTAACTTGAAAGTTGACCTCCCACAATTTAAACATCCCACAAATTAACAGTCAAATTTGCATGGAGGTTGACTTGCAATCCAACCCTTGCCGTGCTATTTTACCTGCTTTGGCCATTTTTCTTCATTTTTTACTTATGTTTTTGAATTTAATAAACACTAAATGTTTGGGACTTGAATTCTTTTATCGGTATGCTATCCTTGAGTTGTATTCCAAATTTTTTCCCCCACGAATTCGGAATTTTTCTTTAGATTTGTCATCTAAATTTTTTCAGACTCGTATTTCTCATTGGCTCACAATAAGCCATGATTTCATGCGAAATTTCGCTGAGAAGTAAAAAAATAAAAATGAAGAAGAAAACGAACGTGTTTCTTGGTGCTGGTTCTTGAAAAGTGATCTCTGTGCTCGATACCCGAGTTCTCCGTGTATTTCGTGGCAGTGAAGACAAAATCCGCTATCTTCCGGCCTTCACACAGCCGAGGATTTTCTTCCCTTGAGAATAAAATAAAAATAAATGAAGGGAAAAACATGAAAAAATACCGTCTTTTGGTACTGGAATTGTCGAAAAAGTCTTTGTCACGGGAGTGCGCAAGAAAAAGCGAGCAATAGCAGTGCTCTGGATTGCAGTGACGAAATAACGTCCCTTTCTCACAATAGTCCGCGTTCCAATTTTTTTTTGGGTGTTGTTGCAAGTTTCGGATTTCCCGCAAGATTTCGGAATCGGTGGACTATAGTTTGTGTACGAAAATTGCGAAATCAAGTTTAATTTTAAATTTAAACTTTCTTTTCGCTGCAAAATTTGCGAAAATCTCGCCCTCGATTCTTTAATCTATCCATATTAAAAAAAAAAGTTTCAAGAAACTACTCTGTCTCAAACTAATTACGCGAAATTCATTATTTTCATTATCGAAAAAGAATTCATTTTCAGTGAAGAATAGCAGTGCTTTAATTGCATAAATGTATGACTCCGCTCGTCAAACTGGAAAAGGTAAATGCTGAAAATTGAACGTGATTCGCGACTTTTCATCAAGATACTGAAACAAAAAGTTACACGTTAAAAATGTACTTTCCATTGAATATTATAATTGCTATAAATATTATTTAAAAAAAAAGTCTTGAAGAAAATTAAATACGACCTTCAACTTTTCATCAAATTACCGTGACGATAAATAAACGATTCTTACAAATCATAATATTCCCTATAGCCGTTCCTGGGGGTATTATAAATTTTTGAAGCTTGTTCTTTTGCAGTGAAACATTTAATTTTTAAAATTTTAGTTGCATTTTAACAAAAAAGACACGCTGATAATTTAATACGACTTTTTACGTTCATCCTAGAATGCCGAGCAATGAAGTACTTGTCTGAAAAATCAAAATATTCCCTGTTCAAGAAAATACTGTATTGTAAATTTTAAGCGTGCAATTTTTCGGTGGATATTATGAATCATAATATCATTATGGAAAAAGGCTCGCTGAAAAATAAATACGACTTTTTTTTGTGAGGCGTAACTTTCCAGGGATTGCATCATTTTTTTAAAGTTTTAATTTTTGCCAGAGTATTACGATGAAAGTTGTGGTCGCAACTAATTTTCATCACGACATTTCTTTGAAAAAAAAAAAGAAAAAAGTTCAATTCAAGAGGCGTTTTATTTCAAGTGACATTAACACTCTAAGCAAATTATACATTATAAATGATATGTAACTTGGAAACTTCGCATAAAAGCATTTTCAGATATTGTAATTTTTCACGTTTGCTCTTTTCACTGCAGTTCGTCGAGGGAATTATTTAAAATCATCCTCGAAGATCAGAAAAATGTTCGAAATCATGAGACTTTAATGATCGTATGGTTGCACATTTTCAAAAATACATTATCCCGAAAATTGGCATTTTGCATGCTCAATTAAGACAGGATTGCAATCCGCCATAAGACGGACAGCTTCCATGATTTCGCGAGTCAAATATTTTCGAAAAAAAAAAACGGCACATGAGAAAGAAAAAGTCCAACTCTTACTTTCATCGTGATCTTTTATGGGTCTTGTTCAGTCCGCGGAATTTCACATTAACCATGTGGATTTTTGTTGGCAATTTTATTGCCGCCACTCTGATTTTATGGCATCTTTTTTTTTTATAAAATTCCTGCTGTCAGTAAGAAAGAGTCTGTTGGACGCGAAACCATTAAATCATTGCTTGTAAGAGTTATGAGTTTATTTTTAATAGGTGCTGTAGAATCTGAATGCCCAACACCTTGACCCAGCGTCAGTTGGAGGAATTTGTGATCAAGACGTTTTAAATTCCAGAAGCATCCAATTTCGATTATTGCAGTGCGATGATTTATTACCGCATTATGTTCCTGCATATTTGTCTGAGATGAGCGTTATTTGAGATACGACGTGGTAATTTCATTTAAATTGAAACTAAAAAAAAAATAGTTGAAGTGATGTGACTGTTGGGACTGGAAAACGTTTGAATCACTTTCTAAATAAAGAGCACAGCAATCAGCTAGGCAACAGCCGGGATGCTTGACACCCTAGTGTAAAGTTGGTATATTTGACAAAAAGCAAGGATTTTAAAGAAATTGATTGATAACAAGAGTTTTGTCATCTTTTGCGTGAGACTGCCAAAAAGCAACTGTTCAGCAAACAGAACGGAAATCAGCAGTTAAACACCTTTCCTGTGGTGAAATTTTGTCCGGTACTGAATTATCCCTGGAAATACGAAGGATTTAGGAAAGCCCTTGTGGGAACTTGAGGTTGAACTTGGTCCCATGAAATTCCTGATGGATTAGATTTCTTTCAATGGTCTAACAATTCATTCTTTTTTCAAGTTGCGTCTCTAAATTCACACGTTATCTTATTCACTTTTTCTAATTTCCAACAATGACAATTTGAATTCACAGAATGAGATCCTTGAAATAGAAATTTTGGTTCATTGACCATAATTTCTTTCAGTAGATTATACTGCATGCTTCAATAATATTTGATTATTGAAAACTTTTACAACTTTTTATGCTTTAAATGTTGACGAAAAGGGCCTTTGAATGATTAGGAAAGGTGTGGTTGGATTGAATAAGAGAAAGTCAAATTATGTAAATTTTATTCTTGATCGGTATTTGACTGGAGTAAAAGGTTGGCTGGGCTGGAATTAAAAAAAAAAAACGGATCTTGATGAAAGAAAATAATTTCTTGTTTAAATCCCGTTGTTTATCCCACGGTGGTTGTTATGACCCGAATATTTTGACCCAGATATTTATACAGTACTTCAAGCACTTTATAAAAAATCATTTCGAGGTATTGATAAGAACTTTGAAATATTTTTTTTCACTCATCTTTTTATGATCTCGATTTTGAACATTTTTTCCTTGTGAAAAAAGACACTTTGTAGGCAATTGTTATGAAGTGATTATGGCGGAGATTTGTGACTCATACTTTTTTTTGGGGAATTTCATCGTGAGAAATGTGAGAAATATTTAAAATATTCTTAGTGACACTCGTTGATCTGAAAACCGTGTTTTAGTTGCGTGGAATTCTGCTCGAAAATGTAAAATGTACCTGTATAAGAAAACGGACCTGAAGTGGGTTCGACAATGATAAAAATAAAATTCCTGAAAGAAAAAGAGGCAAAGTTTAAATTCCCGTTATCGATCCCACGGTGGACGTGGTTTCAAATGTTTTGACCCATAAACTCGGGGATGAAGAATTTTGTTTCCAAGTATTGTAGAGTACAGCATTCACCAAAGTTTTGAAACATCAATTTACTCTGACTTTTCGTTGTTCTTTCGATCGGAAAAAGAGACTAGGCTCATTATTTATTTCGCACCATTTTCTGTATTGGGAGGCATTTGAATGAAATATTCAAAATATTCCTAGTAACATTTGCGGATGTAAAACCATTTTTAAGTTTCTCAGAAAGTGATTTTTGCACTGAAGTGTCAAATTGAGAACAAAACGGGTTTAAAGCAAAAGCTCTAAAAGAATATTTAATTTATTCAGACGGCATAAAAGAGGCGTTGTCTATTCTAAGCCGAAACTTGAAGAAATTCTTCTCAAAGTATGCATTATTGACAAAATACCGTTGATTCATGGATTTCCGATATTATTTCATCCTTCAATTTAAAACCATGGTCTAACTTTGATGTTGCTCATAAATGCGTAGAAATATTATTAAGCGTAAAAACGTGTTTTGATATGTTCCTTTTATTGTCAAGAATAAAGTTGGTATGGTTGAAATTGGATAAGTTTTTAGAAATAAATTCAACAAAGAATTTGGTTGGGCTGCAACTGAGGTGAAATCCCACCCTATTTTAAAGTTGTTGTGATTCAATAACACACAAGATATTTGTGAAAAATGCTTGAGTATCACGCACAAGAGCTCTGACAGAAGTGAAGAGTCTTTGATAGATTCAGAAATCAGGAAAACTTTCCTCCATGGATGAATAACAGAACCAGGATTTAGCAATAAAAAACAGCCTTGGAGACTTCTGGAAAATGAGTGTGTGAACCAAGGTCTTTTTTTATTCACACAGAGATAAATGAAGACAAAATTTGGGTTCTTAGATTTAGCGTGCAAAATTACATTCTGTCTGTTGTTTATTTTTGCTACATCTGTATTGGGATTGTGCAAAAAAAAGACTGGGCTCATTATTTATTTTGCACCATTTTCTGCAGTGACAGGCATTTGAATGAAATACAATATATGCAGATCTGAGCTGAAAAAAAATGTCCAGTCATTTATTTTGAAAATCTTGTTACAACAAATTATCCATTATAATAAACTGTTTCTGCAGTCCCCAAAAGTTCGTTGTAACAAGATTTTACTGTATTTAAAATATTCTATTGACATTTGCGGATGTAAAACCATTTTTAAGTTTCTCAGAAAGGGATTTTTGCTCCAAAGTGTCAAATTGATAAGAAAATGGGTTTGAAGAAAAAGCTGTAAAAAAGATTTAGTTTATTCATACTCATAAAAAAGACGTTGTTTATTCTAAGCCAAAACTTCAAGAAATTCTTCTCAAAGTATGCATTATTGACAAAATACCTTTAAAACCATGAACTAATTTTGATGGTGCTTATAAATGCAAATAAATAATAATTAACCCGCAAAATGTGACCGGATTTGTCGTTCATTGGGATTGTGCAACCCGGCAATCCCGTGCCTGGGTTCTTTAGGCATCTATTAAGTACTGGATCCCCTCGCGAGTGGGCGAATGGTTTTGTGGTGATGAGGTCGCGAAAATCCGGAATTTCTTCATACATATTTTTTTCTTCTTCATTTCCTATAATAGTTGCTCAATGAGACGATGATGTGGAATCATCAGCATCATCATCAGAATGCACGTGGGATGCTGCTGGGGTTGCATCAATGCCAAGGAGAAGGAATCGAAAAATTCCTCGCGTGTCTCTCACTTTTATTCATTCTATTTTTATACAACTTTTTCCTTTGTTTTCTTTTCGTTCCTTCCCTCCGCCGAAAGCGTCCAGATCGTGATCCTTCTTTTGCTGGCGGGGAACAATTTCGTGATGCATTGATCGAATTGATGCAACCTGTATTTCCGCGTCCCGGGGTTTTGTTTCTGACTATTTCTTCCCCTCGTACCCATCAAGCAGTTGGGCTTTGTGCTCACGTCTCTTTTCCAATAACCGTGGCCACCAGCAGGAGAAGAAGAAGAAGAAGAAGAATGAGGAAGCAAATTGCGAGAGATTTATGAAGGGTTATGCAAATGCTTTGTGGGCTCTGTGGATCTGGAACTTCCTTCCTTTTGGTCACAATGCTTTTTGACTGGTGACCAGTTCTTGGAACATAAAGTGGAATCAAGCACAAAAATTCTTCAAAGTTCACCTGAAAATCCTCTTTCCAAAATTATTTTCATGTTGGGAATGATGGTAGAAGCCCCCCCCCCCCCCCTTCTACCATCATCCCTGCGGGTTGAGGTTAGATGGAAAAAATCAGCCCAGCAATACTCATGTTAAAAAGGGTTTGTATGCTTGAGAAATCCTAGTGACGTAAAAATTGTCAGCAATTTTCAAATTCACCCTTACAAATCTTTGCAGGAATTGCTTTGAAAAACTTGAGAGTCAAGAAAGTGTGCTAGTATTTACCTGTTATTCTGAGTATCTGTTTTTTAAAAACAATTATATTTCTTTTTGAAGATTACAGATTTTGAACCATTGAAAAACATCTGAAAATGCCACAAAAGGAAGATGTTGAATAAATGCAGGTTAAATTTGAAGAAAATCTTTAGATCAGACAATAATTTCCAAAATCTCCCAACAAATTATTTGCTATAACACGATTTTTCTGAAGTCCACACAAGTTTGTTGTAACAAGATTTTACTGTAAATAACTTTGAGACACTTTATTGAAGCTAAAGAGAAATAGATCTGTCCCAACTTCTTGACAATTGTCTTGAGATATGGACACTTTTCCAACATTCATAGGAAAATGGAAAAATTTTTCCAAATTTTGTTATCTCTTAAAAAAATTGAGCTGCTTGTATTCAAAAAAATAATACATGAATTTACAGTATGTTCAAAAAATGCAAATAAATCATCAAAAACAGGCTGATTTTATTCTTCTTTTTCAAGTAGAATTTTCTGAATTGTACATGTTGGAAATTTGTTTTTACTAAGCTCTGTGAGCAATTCAAAAAATGACTTTGACAATTGTCTCTCTGTCTCTGTCTCGTACTCTTCCACTCTTGAATAGTCAACATCAGCCAGGGGAAACTTCATATTAGCTGAATTCCAGTGCAATAAATTAAAGCACCACAGTTCTATCAGCATTTGCCATTTATATTGCTTATTGATGCCAATAATGAGAAATGCTCTCTTGCTTCAAAATTAAGATCCATTCAATCATGCAGATCCTTATACTTCTGATACCTTCTCGAGTTGATTTGTTCTTCTGTAAAAAAAAAAAAAAAATTTTTCTCTCTGGAACATTCACCATATGTCAGCCTCATCTCATTGTAAAAGTCAATTACCACAAATTCCCAATTACCACTTTCAACTCCCCCTCCAAACACGACCAAAAGTGTTTTAGTCAAACTAAAAAAAAAATTGCGCAAATATTCCATAATTCTTGTGTGCACATAACAGATGCTGGAGATGAAAATTTAGATCACAAACACTTGAAAAGTTTTCCTCTTGTGAGTAATTTATAAATTAATTTCACTTCAATGCTGATTATTTTTCATTGAAAACTGATGATGATTGCAAAAATTTTAGGGCAATCAGGAATAAGTTTCTACCGGTAATTATGCTGCTCAAAATTGAAAGAGCACATGAAATACCTGATTAAATACCGTATTGCAATTCGAATAGCTAATGAATGGAATAGGATGATGATGAAAGAAAGCTGTAGGGGTGTTTGTGGAAGCTGTATTTTTCGTCCTCATGATAAAAATTTAAAGTTAAAACAGAAGTAAGCTGCTGACCCTATTAAAGATATTTCCACGACCGCTAGATCTAATCCTCATTGGGCCGAGGGAAAGCGTGAGCCGTGGAGTTTATAAAGCGAATGTCATGTAGTGCCCGTGAGCTATGTTGGTCGAAAAAAAAATATCGAAAAGAAAAAAAACAGATAATCTAGTGAAGATATAAAAACAAAATCCAGATACTGATTGGTGAGAAGAGAGAGAGAAAAAAAAAGAAGAAAAAGAAACCGTTGTGGAATGCCCGAGTTGGGTCAGCGTGGAAGGCTCTCCTTGTACATGCGCCCGCGCTCCTCCTCTAGGTTGCCAGTTGGGTATATTCAACTGATATTTGGACTTCTACTGATATTGTATATTGAATTCTACTGATATTTGGGATCCAACTGATGCTTGAAATTCGAATGATCTTTAGTATTCAAATGATCTTTAGAATTCAAATGATCTTTAGTATTCAAATGATCTTTAGAATCCAAATGATATTGTATTTCGAATTCAACTGATATTGTATGAAGAACTCAACTGATATTGTATGTAGAACTCAACTGATATTGTATTCAGAATGCAAATGATATTCAGAATTCAACTGATAATTTGAATTCAACTGATATTTTGAATTCAACTGATATTTTGAATTCAACTGATATTTTGAATTCAACTGATATTTTGAATTCAACTGATATTTTGAATTCAACTGATATTTTGAATTGAACTGAATATAACTGATATTTTGAATTGAAATGAATATAACTGATATTTTGAATTGAACTGAAATTTAATTGGATGTTATTTGAAATAGAGCAGAGTCTTCCCAACGTAGTATCCTTTAAAAACAATCGGCCATTTCTAACTTCTAAAGTAAAGCTAAATACATTTTGATTGGAGCTTCACAGTTCCTGCAATGTTGCATTTTCTTTGAAGAAGAAAAAAGATTATAAAAAAGATTATTTTTTAGAGGTTTCCCATACCATACTTGACTGTCTGTCCCTTATTTGGGAACTCTTCAGTTTGTCACCTGCCATTTTGTGGATTTTGGGTGCTATGAAAAACTTGTGAACTGTTAAAATTAATTGAGCTTATTTTTTGCTGATTATCTCCCTTTTGCTTTCCTTGTGCTGTTTGGACAATGCGCATTTCATGCATTGAATCATTTCTGGTAAATGTTACCAATTCCTGATATCTTGGACATTTATTTCAAGATTACAGTACTTGGAAATTATGAAAATCTTCATATGTTTAGTTGTATTTCGTGCAAACTGACCAAAAAGACTGGAAAACCCGGATTTTTTAGTTTCTTGATGTGTGTTAGTGAGGTTACATCTAAAAAAAATTCAATAAAATCTAGAAAACATCTTTGAGGTTCTTCAATATTTTTTTCAATCTTTTTTGAAATTTCAATGAAGTTCATTTGTGCTGTATATTTTACAAAATTACCAAAAATGATAACCTAACCATGCCGTCGTAATTTATTTGTGGGGTGATGTTGGACTATGAAAACAAGAAAATTTTTAAAGGTGTCTGTGTGGATTTTAAATAAAAAAACATCAGATGCTTAAAAACGTAAATACGGTCCAAGGCTTTCAGTGGAAACTAATCACGGACAAGTTGACCTAATGAGAGCGTTAGCTTACTGCTGGGTAGAGAAAATGGGGACACACTGGCAACCTAGGGCAGAAATTGGTGAGGGTTGGCCGGCTGCCCTGAGGCCGCGCGCTGTTCCTATTCCGAGCCGGTTGGAACTTTCTCAACGCTCATCCTGTGCCGTTTATCCTCAAAACGGTACAAACCGTGGCTGTCCAAAGCAGGGCTTTAAACCTTATCTGGATTTCTATAACTACTCTGTGGGCGGTCTTGAAAGATTGGACCCTTTGCCGATTTCATTACCCAAACACCCATGCAGAAGGGGGAAAACCCAAGACTGATTCATGTAGCCTAAATTACATATAAGTTAAAATATTTTTTGACTCATTGCTTACAATCTTTTCTGTAAATACAGAAGTGCCTCACCAAGAATGATGGTTTTTCATTTTTTCCGCCTAATTTTAAAAAATTTCCGCATTCCTATTTCAAGATCAACATGTAAGGTTTTTTAGAAACTAACTTGGCCACTATTATGATGCATGTAAAATGATCAGCCAAGTTCATTTCCCTTTATTGAAACTTGATCACATCATGAAGCTGCCTCTATGTAACTAACTCTATTTTAATGCATTCTAAGTAACTTAAGCTATTTAAGGAAAGCTATTTAATGTTAAAACAGTGGTTTTCAGCAGCCAATGAATTTCCTCCTGATGATGAAACCTAGGATATTTTATATTGGGGGTGGTCAGTGGATTGAATTCTGGATTTATAAATTGTTGCTGTGCCAAAATGTCATACATTTTACAATCCAGTTGGACACTCTCCCTCTCTCTCTACAGCAATCTCATCTTTAATAATTGTCTCTGCATAATTTGTTTGTCTCTTGACTTATCTACTCATGTTGTGCAGGGATGATCTGCTACAAATTTCTCTACAACCAATTTTTATTCTCCTTTGAATTTCAGTTAAGAAAAAGCAAGTCAACATTTAACCCTTGAATGGTGGAGGGTTCCTGGTCAACCTGCTGCAAAGTTGGGATTATTTTGGGGCGTGGTGCATTTCAGTTTGACCAAATGGAATGTACCCAGGTTGGGAAAGCCTAAGTTTGGAAAAACCAGGAAGGCTGAATCCTTTTGTATTCCAAAATCTCTAATGCTAATCCTATGCAAGGAATTCCTTAAAGAAAGCCACCCAGTGAGGACTGTGTTTTTATTTTTGAGACAAATTTTTCTGCAGGATTATTTTAAAAAAAATTGACTTTTTCCCAACTTGAAGCATTGGTGCAAAAATACAAAGAAATTGAATTGTCACTGCTCATGGGCACTTAATTTGCCAAAACTGTCCTGAAATTGGCGCTATTGGGCATCTGTATTGCCCTCTTACCTCATTTGCTTTGCTGCCCACGTTGTGCACATCCAGGCTTGGTTCCCGTGCGTGTGTAACCCGAGGACGAGGCTGAATGTGGAACGCGGCGCGTGAATCCGTGCGTGTGCACGCGTGAAAGACTTGCCCCCTCTGTCCATGGGACAGCAGCAGCGGCAGCAGGAGGAGGAGAACGTGGACCCGCGTTTTATTGCTTCTTATACACAGTCCTCCTCTTATTCTTACTCTATATATACAAGCTAGAAAAATGTATTCCTCTCGACTCGGAGTGTGTATGTGTGTGTGTGTGTGTTGTCCAGTATAGTCGCCAGTGGATCTCCGTTGACATCAGCCCAGTCTAGAAAGTTCCTCAACGTATGCTTCGCCGTCAGACGAAAAGATTAAAAAAATAGAATGAAAAATATGGACAAGGCACAGTGACTATATAGTGAGTGATATTGGATCACTGTTGCATCGGTGGGGAATTTCTTTGTGACGCGTGCAAGTGATGAGTGTGAGTGCAGATGATTGTGTGCCAATGAAAGTAGAAGAGAGGACACTGAGTTGATCAAATTTACAGAAGTGTTCTTCTCTTTCATACACAGTGTTCATGAATACGAGTTCTTTGACGTAGGCTGTGGAGGAGAAGTGGAAAAGAGAGAGAGAGAGAAACTGTGCCATGTTTTTCAGTGAAACCATGCTTGCTTTTTTTTAGTATATATGGTGCTAAAATTATGAGTCTCTTCTATATGATCATGGAATGTTATTTGCCCTTAGTGAAAGCTGACTGATTTGCAAATATCTGGGATATCTCTTTAATAGAGACATAGATTGTATGGCTTTTAAACCAGTGGTCCTGATTGTGAATTGGTGAAATGTGTGTGAGTTACTTAAACTTATTGACTCTGGTGATTGGATTATTTAATATTGAGTAGGTTAGGTTGCATTTACTAAGATAGGTTGTTTTGTGGTTGCAAGGCCATTTTGCTGCAAGTGCACTTGGACCTTATTCAGTCAAAATTTTCTGTATATGCTGAATTTTTGCTTGGTTCCACTCTGGATTCCTTCAAGAGCAATGATGGATTTGTATATGCCATATAAATCCCTTATTGGCAGACTTCACCACCTCAGACCTCAATAACTTTTATTTTGAGAGGATTTTGAGGGATTATTCTGGGGACTGACAAAGAAAAAGAAGATTAATATCAATTGCCAATGACCTGATGCTTTTGAAAATTGGAGTGACAAATTGAGAAACTTCATCCTTGCCTCCAAGATCAGTACAGTATCCTGTCACTTCATTTATCCTACAGGTCAAGGCCTGGTTTACACAGTATATTTTATCAAGTTATGCAGGTTACCTCATTTTAGATTGAGCTAGTTATGTTACCCATGTTTGGTTTGGTAAGCTTAGCAGAACATGTATGAAATAGGTTTGGTTGGGTGAAGTTACATACACTGAAATAGGCTAGTTTTGATAAGCAAAACTTGGTATACAGTATTCTGATTCATGGCAGCACCTGTAAAGTGATATGTGACATTTTCATGGTAAGAAAGTTGGGTTTGAGAGGAAGTTTGTGAATTGGTGCAAGACCTGGTCAGAATGGAATGTAAAATGAAAAAAAAGTGAAATGAACCATGAGGAGAATTGTGGAGCAAAACTTTTGGGAAATAGACTTGGACAACAACAAAATGGAGAAAAACATGTGGAACATCATTGAGTGGAAATCTGTATTGAAATTGTACATTTTGGTGAAATTTTCCATCAAGTATACAAACCTCTGCATCCTTGGTTTCATTTGAGGTCTTGGGTAGTGCTGTCCAGGATTGATTATATGAACACTAGCATTTCTTGAAAGTTTTGCAATCCAGAGAAATGTGAAAAAGCCCTGATGTAGAAAAATTGGTTTGTATTAGCACCACAATGGAAAGGACTATAAAATGACATGGTTATTGAATTTAAGCATGCATTCAATTTTCTTCCACATTCTTCACACTGTGCAATAAATTCATGTCAAAATAGTAAAGGTTAATATTGCAGGTCATTACAGAAGGCTGTTGGGATCATGTATCTTCATATAGATCTTTAAAATTTCGACCTCTGATATAATTCACTGCTAGGGAAAGAAGAATTCAATCAATTACTGCATGGTGGTACCTTGAAATTCAATTTCCCAAAATTTGACCTTTTTGCAATTTGAGGGTCAAATTTGCTGGTATGTCAACTTGCAATTCAACCTCTTGCCTCAAAACTTGACCTGCAAAGAGACTCAAAATGTCAAATTCAATGTAGACAACATCAAATTTTACATTGTCTTGCAATTGGACTGCCTTGCAATTATCATTATTTGATAATGGTTTAGGGTTAATTATTGGGATACTGCTTGCATCAGTTCAGCATTACAGCTTTGATGGATTCAAGTGATGAATTTTTACTATTTCTTGGGAATGTTCTTTGACACAGTGTTTAGGTAAAATTGGCTCAAACCTTCAATCATGACACAAACTCATCAGTGATTTTTATACACTTGCAGTTGTCCAAGTCCCTGTCTAGTGTAGTTGATTTTTTTTTTCAAAAAGAAGTATTGAATAACCATCCACATTAAAAAATTCTGTACATGAGGAAGAAGGAATTTTCTTGACAATGAATCTCTGTGCAAACCCTGTTTTCCTGAAAAATCAGCCTTTGAATCTTTTGAAATATTGTGAAGATTTACACCACAAAAATTTCATCATACTTTTCCTCAAATTCAGTATTTTATTTCAAGAGACAGTGTCTAGCTAAGAAGCTGTGCTGCTATCACCTTAATTGGATAAGTTAGAAAAAAAGTTTTGAAAATACTCTCAAATGTTATATTTTTATTTCTAGCCAGGACCATTCACATTTAGCAATTGAGATTCTTTTGAAATGGGGTTTGCAAAACTTTGCAAGCTGCTGTAAAAGAACATATTAAAATTTGCACACCTGAGCAGCAGTTTTCAGCTTTGCAGCTGTTTCCCCACAATTAATTTATGCAGTGGAATCAGAAATTATTTATACCATTTTCATCTATGGAAATGCCTGTAAGCTGTTTTTTTTGTGTGCAAAGGATGAAGGACTAATTTAATAACACATCCATTTCGGAGGTGGCTAATTTAAAGTTTCAAAAGTATTCTACTAAAGGAAAATTGCGTTTTTCGTGGAGAATAACCTTGTAATATTTCTCTGGGCATCTTTTTTGGTCAGAAAGTGACGTAGATTGAAACTCGTATAATAGCTTCTCATTCCGCAAGTGGTTTATTATTATGGATTGCCGAGTTAGAAAACCCACGATAAACATTTTTATTTCTCTTGTCATTTTCTCACGGAAGGACGAAGAGCTTTTGTCCTTTGATGATGATGAATTATGTCGGATTTTGTGTGGCAATGGAATCTTTGGACCGCTGATCATTACCGAAAGTGTCTGTTCCTGTCATAATCTTGCTTTAAAAAGGATCAAATAATCGTGTGATGATGTTTCCATGAATGATTTATTTGACTGGAGTGGATACTTCTTTTTTAGCGTTTTGCTTTTTACATATTTGAGAAACTGTATTTTTTTGCTCCTGAATTTTCGAGTATTTGATGTAATATACCTACTTCTCGTAAAGATTCTCTTGTACCCATGTGAGAGGATTTTAGCTTGAGAAAAACAGAGACTCAGCCCGGGACAAGGGCTGGGAACATTTTAACTTTTAAATATACAGTATTTCAATTATCCCAACAAGGTTTTAGATTCTAAGAGCCAAGTTAGAAGACCCAACAGTAGACAACGCAAAAAACTTTGCAACAAGCTCTTGATTTTAGGGCACACAACTGCTCCCAATCAGCTCAAGACACTCGGATAAAAATTGGGAATTAAAAAGGGTTTTTATCAATTTACTGTAGTGTCCTTGATCCAGTATAGTTGGCCCCTGCACAACAGACCACCTCTGGATGCAATTTTTCTTCCTGCGCAATGGACTAAATCGACATAACAGACTTCTGTGGGTTTAAAATTGATAAGAAAAGGAAAAATTTCAATTTTTAAATAATTGAATTACAGTAGAATCTCATTACAAAAAACTCCCAGGGACTGGAAAAAATTGTAATGAAATAAAAAATTTGTTGAATCAAAATTGATGGATTTATTAAAAGAAATACACTTCATCATCTGTGAAAGCATTTTATTGTCTAAAGAACTTTAGTTGTTTTTTCTCTCTGCAATATCTGTACCAATAGATGCCTTTCACAAAATGGTTACATTTGAAAATGGATTTAAAAATTGGAGAAAGAACTCAACGCAGAAGAGCATTGGGAAAATAACAGATTATCACAGATTGTTGTGGCTAGCTAGGCACTGTGCTTCCAAACTCCTGAGACCTTGAATGGTAGATTAATCAGGATACATTTATTTTATGGGCTTCCTGCCAGCAGTCAGGTAATGTAACCCATTTTTAACTTCCTGTATTTTTGAGTGTGTAGTTCTGCTGCAGAAATATTTTCTGTCCACTACTTCGGGATGATGAGCCTCAGAAAATTATCATATGAAAATCAGGGACCACAAATTTCGAAATTTGGGACAAAAAATCTGAAAATCGAATTGAAAATTTTAAAAGTCAGAGAAA